GGGCTAAATTTTTTCATGGTAGGTATGGGCGCATTGAGTCCTTTTCTAATTGCTCAAATGTGGATAGGAGGGCTTCTTGGTAGTGGAAGGATATAGTGTGTGTGCTACAATAAGAAATTTTTTTGTTGGATGAAAATATTGAACCTTGTATTGGCGATGGTACTATGACCTAGTTTTTTGGGAGGATAAGTAGATAGGTGATTTGTGCTTGTTGGATGTCTTTCCTCATTTGTACTCCTTTACCTTTGATCCATTGTCAGTGGTGGAACATAATGGAACTTGGGAGGGATTTAGGTGGGTGCGGCAGGTTAATTGGAGAGAAAAGAACCTTTTGTCCATGAAGTTAGTAGTGTGAATACCTTGCTGGATATGCTTCAGGATTTGCAGATTTTCTCTTCTAAGCAAGATTATTGGAGATGGATTTGTGATAAGGATGGTGTATTCTCGGTGAAACATGCGTACCTTTGGCTGCAACGCTTGTTGGGTGGGGAACTCAGATATTCTTCAGATTTTCAACTAGTTATAAAAAGTCTTTGGAAATGCAAGGCTCTGATCAAGTGTTTGGTATTTTGTTGGCAAGTGTTCTTGAATGTGTTTTCGTGCAAATCATTGTTAGAAGTATGTGGTGTGGAGTTAGATAATAATTTATGTTCTTTTTACTTTTTGTTTGTTGAAGACCCTCTTCCTCTCTTTCTTATGTGGCCTATGACTTTTAATACTTGGTTAGCTGTTGCTAATTGGTTGGAGGTTGCGGTGGTCCTTCCAAATTCTTTAATTTATCTTTATTTATATTGGATGAATCTTGGTATATATAAAAAATGTTCTTGATGTTTTCTGGTGGTTTGGGTTTCTATTATCTGGTCACTATGGCTTTATTAGAATGTTATTATCTTTTAGCAAGGTATTACAGATTGCAAGGAAGTGTTGAATAGTATTAAACTGCGTTCATGGAAGTGGATTAATAGTTCTATCATCGATTGTTTTTTAGTTACATTAACTAGTATTATAACCCGGGTTTGTATTTTTCATAGTTTCTGCTTTGATTTTTTTTATTTCTAATTATGTCTCTATATCTCTTGTAACATGTTGAAGTACCCCTTATACTCCCTTTAATTTGAGTTTATTTTGCTTATAAAAAAAAATATGATCAAAGTTGGTATCACCTAATGTCTTTATTTAATACCAACTTTAATATGAAGAATCATTATATATGTAAAATTCACTATCACGTAAACAATATTATTTTAACATTCTTATATATATAATTTAATTACATAATTCATTAAGATTAAAATAAATAAATAATTTAATTAATTAATAATAAATTTATCTTTTTTTTTTCTTTCTAGAACTACCCTTATAAACAAAGATAATAAAGCATATAAAAGTAACTTAAACATACATAATCAAGCATACTCGTGGGCTGTTTAAAGTTCCTTTTGGGCCTTGCTAATGTTGTTTCTTTAATTGGGCTCATTGGCTTATCAATTTCGGCAGATGATAAACACACCTCCACTCTCGTATAAATACACACCTTTTTTTAAAAAAATATATAAAATGTCTAAATTACCCTTTTAAAAAAAATAAAATTCCTAAATTTACACCTCCCTTCCTCACACCTTCCTTCCCCGCACCAGAACGGCACCAGAACAGACCGTTCTGCAAGAAGAACGACCCGTTCTGATTGCAAAACGCCCCGTTCTGCTTGCAGCACAGCCCGTTCTGCCAGCAGTACAGGCCGTTCTGATTGCAGTACGGGCCGTACTGAAAGCAGAACAGGTTGTTCTGCTTGCAGAACGGGCCGTTCTAGTGCCGTTCTGTTGCAGTGCAGGCCACCGCGTCACTTTTAAAATGGCTACCTTATGACTAATTTTAAAACTCCGATTTTAAAAGTCATTTTTGTACTAGTGTGTCTTTCCATAGAACAAGTAAGAGTCTTTCTCTTACAAGACCACCTGCTGACATTGCGCACCCCTCTTCTTTCTCTTTCTGGCACTCTCCTCTTCTTCTTTTTTTTTTTTTCCCGCACCTCGCACGCCCCTCTTCTTTCTCTTTCTGGCACTCCTCTTCTTCTTCTTCTTACTGTTACGGAAAGTTCTTTCTGGAATTATATAAAAATGTTCCAGAAAATACTTTCCATAATATTAAATTCTTATTCCGGAAAGTATTTTCCGGAAATGTTTTGTTACATAATTCCGGAAAGTACTTTCCATAATATTAAAGTTACTATTACGGAAAGTTCTTTCCGGAATTATATGAACAATAATTTTACTATTCCGGAAAGTACTTTCCGGAATGCTAATGACTGTAAAAGTACTTTCCGGAATGCTAATGACTGTAAAAGAACCTTTCTTATGCTGGTTATGGTGGGGCTAGTCCTTTTTTTCTATTTAGAATGACTATAAAAGTATATTGCTTAATGACATTGAGCGGAAAGAGGCTTTGGGAAGAAGAGGGGTGTGGAGTGTGGGGTGCGGGGAAAGGGGGTGCGGGGAAGGGAGGTGTAAATTTAGGAATTTCATTTTTTTAAAAGGGTAATTTAGACATTTTATATATATTTTTTAAAAAAGGGAGTGTATTTATAGGAGAGTGGAGGTGTGTTTATCATCTGCCATCAATTTCCTCATCAAAAAAATTCTCGCCCTACATGGGTACTGCGTTAACTAGTCCTTTGGGACTAAAAGCACTTAACACGTCTTTTCCCTCACCTATCATTTTTGTAATGTCTTATTTTGTTTGCTGTTAATCAATAGGAGTATTTTTCATTAATATTATTATTACCCTAACCTTCTCAAATCAAACTTGGATTAATAGTTTCTTACCATAGCAAGTTTTATAATTGTAATTTGACTTGAGTTTCCTAGATTGCTTATTTGTTTTGTTGTTTGGAGATGTCAAGTATAAAATTTTGTTCTCATCTTTTAGTCTTTGTAATTAATTTTTATTTTACGATATTTAAAATTTTCACATCACTTAGAAATTAATACTAATGATAATTTATAAACATTTTCTCTCAATCCACTAAGACATTTTTTAAAGAATAAAATCGTGATGGTTTAATGAATGATAAAATGGACAATATCTTAAATATGGTAGCTCTAACGATGTTAGTGAACTCAGTCAATAAAACTTCCTTTTGATGATCAATGTATATTTTCTATCACAATCAAGTTCCTTCATTTATTTGAAAACTTGGAACTTGGGGACTTATGTACTAACCAAATTGCCATGTAACTCATACATGCCGCTTTAGAGATTGAACATGCCATCCTAAAGAGTTTGGACAAGTTAACCTTGGATATGTACTTACATGTCCAACGTTATAGAGGTTAAGCAATTTGAGCTTGAGCATAAAATTGTTGAACCACCTCGATAATGGTTACTAAAATGGAAGTTGATAGGTTACTAAAGTACATTATATATTCCAAGGTATAGAAAAGACGAAGATATATTGACTTGATTACCAAAGTCTTTCTTGTAGGTACTCATCCACTTCAACCAAAATTAAAGGGGACCTTGAAGGTGATTGGATGAAGAGGGAGATTTGAAGGAGATTGTCAACTTAGGAAGACTTGAAAATTCAATACTTGGACCTTATCATATTTTGGTAAGAATATTTTGGTGTCCACCATGGGGCCAAAGTATAAGTCTTCCTTCGACCATTTGTGATTTCAACCTAAAACCAATATCATAACAGGGTGAACATGGGACATCCACCATGAGAGATAGTGCAACCTTGTGTAAATTGGCAGATCAAATAGAAATAATGAGATGACAAAACCAAAAAGTTTTTGACTCTATGCGTTCCCAACATGAAATCAACCTTCAAGTCTTAAGTGCAAAAAATGATGTTATAAGAGCCAATTTTAACATCCCCACAATGAATCTATACACAAATAATGATGTCATTATGTGTTGAGTATTCCCCACATTATTAATAAGAGCATATTTAAGTTACTACACCTAACTACCATTCAAATCTATTAACTCTTTTAAAAACTTGATTCAAGGGTATGGAGCATAATATGCTGCCAGTCACCCTCACCACATATCAACTCAATGGTGTTGGCCAATATGAGGCAAGGAAATAACAAATATTTGAGCAAATTTATAAAATAATTTGTAGATGTCTCCATAAGAATAATAACCTTAATTCGGTTAGTACATAAGCTCCTAAGGATAATTTATAAATACCCTCCCTCACTCAAACACCTTTTTAAGGATAAAACCATGACTACATAACAAGCACCAAAGCGGACACTACTTCAAGCATAGTGACCCAAACGATTCTAGCAAACTCATTATTGGAACATTGACGTTAGAAGGAGGGCCTAAATCACTCTTATCCCTTAGCTTCGATTGGAGGACTTGTTCCAGTATGTCTAAAAATTTCACATATCGCTTAGTAATTGAGACTAATGGTAATTTATAATGACCCTCCCTCCTTAACCTTTTGAGACACCTTTTAAAAGACAAAATTATGATGGACCAACAAACATCAAAACAGACAATATCTCAAACGTAATAACCCTAATGATGACAATGAACTTACGATTAAAATAATTGTTGATAACATGTTACTTAAAACATCACCCCAAAACTCTAACTACTTAATTGTGATATCAAAATATTTCATATAATAATGAATGGTGATATTTCTAGATTTTTTTATTATATTTTTCAATTTTCGAATATGACAAATATTTCGAAACAAATGAAAATACTAAAAAAAGTAGACAGTCAACATATGAGTACCAAGCTAAATTATAAATATAAGTTCATTATTTTTTGGTGAAATACACTAGTTATTTATTTTATGTGCATTTCTCTTTTGTTTCTTTCCATTAAATTTAAGCTTTCACAGTACCATTTTGTCAGTACCATTGTCTTATTTAATTTAATCATTATAAACCCCATTGTTTCTTGATTATAAAATAGTTTAAAACTTAATCCCATCCCAATCCTAATCCTAATCCTAATCCTAAACATTAATTTATTGACAAACCTAATGTTTGCAACAAAAGGTAGTCCAAAAAAGCAACCTTTTCCTAGCGATTAGCTCCATCTGCTGGACCTCCACATCAGGTAGAGAGAGATACTTACGGCGATAACAGATCCAACAAAAAATTCGAAACCAAAGAAAGAAAAAAAGAAAAAAGAAAAAATGAACGGAACAACACTTTCAATTCCAACACCACAACGACACCACGCTTCGCACTCCATCACGCGAACCACGTTCCGCACATTTGCCCCAACCCAAACCCTCTCCTTCCGCAACCGCACTCGCAGTTTCCGAATCCGATGCTTCTCCGGGAGCGCGCCGCCGCCGCCGGTGGTGGTGGTGGGCTCCGCGAACGCCGACATCTACGTGGAGAGCGAGCGGCTGCCGCGCGAGGGGGAGACGCTGGCGGCGAGGTCCGGCGAGACGCTGGCCGGCGGCAAGGGCGCCAACCAGGCCACGTGCGCCGCCAAGCTCGCCTACCCGACCTACTTCGTCGGGCAGATCGGCGACGACGCCTACGGGAGCCTCGTGGCCGGCGCGCTCCGCGGCGCCGGCGTCCGGCTGGACAACCTGACGGTGGCGGCGTCGGCGCCGACGGGGCACGCGGTGGTGATGCTCCAGTCCGACGGGCAGAACTCCATCATCTACATTGGGGGCGCCAACGTCAGCGGCTGGGCCCCTGGCCCAGTGCCTTGCCACGTCAGCATTTGGACCTCGTGGCCCGAGCTGGCATCGTTCTGCTGCAGAGGGAGATTCCCGATCCTGTCATCGCTCAAGTCGCACAGGTTGGGCCGGGCCGGGCCAGGCCTTTTACATATGCTTTTCTAATTGTTTAATCAAGTTTTAACTATTCTTGTTAGTTATAACTTTTACTTTTAATTTATATAATTAAAATATGTTTTTTTAGGACAAAAAAAAAGCTTTACGTTTTTTTGTTTATTTTTAGTTTGTATAGTTAGATAAACTTTACTTTTTTTTTTTTTTTATCACATAAATTTTCCCTTTTAATTCCTATAGAAATATACTATGCAAACTAAAAGAGACCAAGAATGATATTTTTTTTTATTTTTTACTTTACTCTTCATAAATGTAATTCTTGCTTATTTTTAGTATGTATACTATAATCGAATAATAAAAAATTTAGCTTTTTTTTATACCGCAGACTTTTTCTTTTAGTTCGACTAAAATAGAACAAGAATGATATACATAAAGATTAAAATAGGACATTTTTAACTTATAGATTATACACACTGGAAGATAAAATTTAATAGTCATTAGTTCAAGTGATTTGACTTTTGAACTCTGTACTTGGGAGGTGCCACTTTATTTCTGTAGTTGTTGATCCAGTTAAAAAAAAATATACCCCCTATCAAACCAAAAAAATAAAGAAAATAAAATTTATAAAATTATAGGACCAAAAGAATAATTAAACCATTAAAATTTCATCTCAATAATATAGAAACAAACCCTTACAGTGCTAATTATTAAGTTGAAACTTTAATTATGATGAAAAACAATTAAGAAATTGCATTCTGTTATTTTCTTTTTGTCTTTTTTATTTTTATTTTTTTATTTGTGAGGTGTTTTGGGAATTGGATTATGAGTTATGCTCTTGTAATGCATGCAGGCTGCAAGCAAAGCTGGTGTGCCAGTGGTGTTGGATGCTGGGGGCATGGAAGGGCCATTTCCGCCACAATTGTTGAACTTTGTTGATATTTTGAGTCCTAATGAAACTGAACTTGCTCGCATTACGGGAATGCCAACGGAAAGTTTTGAAGAGATTGCACAGGCTGCTTTGAAATGCCATGAATTGGTGAGTTTAATTAAGGGGTGACCTTAGGGATCACAATGAAATGCTTTTGCGGATTTTCCTACTTGAATGAAATGTTCATTGCCTGAGGACGTCCAAGGTTTTTAAATTGCAGTTGTAGTTGCAATTGCGGTTTGGTTGTGATCCTTAATATTGAGGAAATTGCAGACAATGCGGTTTGGTTTTGATCCTTGATATTTGGGAATATTGCTGACAATGTGGTTGAAATTGTGGTTGCTAACTGTTATTTAAAACCTTGTGGATGTCTTACAAACAGATATAGTTGCAATTTCAGTTTTTTTGTGATTCTTAAAGTCGACGAAAGTTGTAGAGAAAAAGTGGCTGCAATTGTGATTGCCAACTATTTGTTAAAACCTTGAGGATGTCTTGCAAAGAAAGCACAATTTTTTGAATATAATATTTGAAAATATGATGTAACTTTGAGAATTTCTGTTACTAATAATCCTTCCCTTGTGTAGTGTTAACATGCCTTCGTAGATGGCAACCACAATGTCACTGCTGAAAGAAATGGCCATCATATTGATGTTCATTAGAGATCCTTCTACAGAATTGTCATATATTCTGAATCTGATACCATCGGTTATCTGGGTCTTGTTGCCTTTATTTGGTGGCGTTATCTTCTAAACAAGGTTTTGAACTATTACTCCTTTATGTTGAGGAAAATGGAGCTGTTTAGTCCTCTTGGCATTTACAACTAGCCTTGGAAGGGGAAAGGGAGGGGGATTATAATTTTCATTTGATTTTCTTTTCCATGAACCCAATTAGATGCCCCGTAAAGGGAAATTATAAGGGGAAAAGGCAGTTAATGGCCAATAAACTATTGAGTTTTCTATTTCTTCTATTTTCTCCGCATTGTCACTCCATGCCTGTGCAGTATATTGGAAGTTGTCTCAGAGTTTAGCTTCAAATTTTGATTGGTTCCTGAAGGCTAATAGAATGATAGATGAATGATGTTTTTATTGTCGTGACCATTGCAATAGTTTCAATTATTCTAGTTCTGGTGTTATTTGTGTGCCTTAAATTTCTGAAATTTCAGGGAGTTAAGCAAGTTCTTGTGAAACTTGGGGAGAAAGGATCTGTCCTTTTTGTAGAAGGAGAAAAACCGATTCAGCAGCCTGCCATACTTGCTAAAAATGTCGTTGATACAACTGGTGCTGGTGATACTTTTACTGCTGCTTTTGCTGTGGCCTTGGTTGAGGGCAAGTCCAAAAAGGATTGCCTTAGATTTGCCGGTGTGTATGGTGGAATGCAATTTTTTTTTTCTAGAATTTTCACTTTTGAAATTGGAAAAATGTGCCTAAATATTATGTTCTGCAACAGCTGCTGCAGCTTGTCTTTGTGTTCAAGTCAAGGGGGCGTCTCCCAGCATGCCTGATAGAAAATCTGTTTTGGATCTTCTTAATAGTCAATGAGAATAATCACCAAAGGTCAATTTTCCCTGAAACACTTTTTCCTTTGTTTTAATTGTTTGGATTTACTCTCTTGTTCTTGTTTAGTGAAGAAAAACCATAATTTAGACATCTAGAGAAAGGGCCTGGCATCTGTATCTTTATGTGCTATTCAACTCTTGTTTTCCTTGCTATTTGGAACCAATTTGCTAATGTTCATGACTATAATTAAATGGTCTCTGTCATTCCATTTTCCTGCTTGATTCTCAATAACATAATTATTATTTAATTTCATGAGATGCATTC